ACTGCTTCGATATTGCTATGATTGAGATTTCGTCATTGAGATGTTGAAAAAGTTGTTTGAACGTCCTACGTAGTGCGACGTCCTTTCCTGGTTCGGTCCTAGGAAAGGGGTCTTGGTGCCCTTTTATATGTTCGGGATGTTAACGGTCTCGGGCGCCACCTTCTGTTTAGAGAGTTAAGGAACTCTTTCGCCTCCAGGTAACTTTTAGGGGTTACAGTCGGAGATTCAGGGATTCGGTATGGGAAAGAAGAAAACAAGAAAAATTCGGAAAACAAATAACCATAAACTTTATTAATAATAAAATAAACAAATAGGAGGGCCGTTTATTAATTTTTGACCACGGTCGGAGAATGGGGACGGAATTGAAATACGGGTATTTCTAAGAAAAATTAGCGGGTGTCTTCGGAACTAATCACGGCTGTTGTCAGCTGTAGTTGCGGTGTCCGACCATCCTTGATGAATTTGGCTAGATGTTTTTTCATTTTATCCACGGTGCCAGTTGCATTTAAACCAAATTTGTCTAATTCTACTTCTAAATCAGCCTTTCTAAGATTATATATCCATCCCGTTCGCACATTTGCAACATCCTGACTGGGTCCTTCGAATGGTGGTTCAAGGTGTTCTTCGCCGGTATTCATTTTTAATTATCGGTTTAAATTTTCTTCCTAATATTCGGAAAAACGGTCCCTGCTCTTCTTCTGTATGTTCTGAAAAACGGTCCCTGCTCGGGCGCCAAAATTTGCGACGTCCTTTCCTGGTTCGGTCCTAGGAAAGGGGTCTTGGTGCCCTTTTATATGTTCGGGATGTTAACGGTCCCGGGCGCCACCTTATGTTTAGAGAGTTAAGGAACTCTTTCGCCTCCAAGTAGCTTTTGGGGGCTACAGTCGGAGATTCAGGGTGTTTGAGAGAGGGTTAAAAAAATAAAAACATGCGGTTCATAAATTAAGAAAATAAAATCAAAGTTTATTAATAATAAAAAAAAATCAACATAGGGGTTTACGGAGCAAAAAAAAACTTTATTTAAATATATAATCGGTAAATGTCTGGCCTAGTGCAATCTTGTGGGAGTCGTACTTCGGACGTAATTGAAATAATTATTCATAAGGGAATAATTGGTCTGGATGAAGTGCTACGGAAAACTCGCGATAGCACCAGGTCGGGAAGATGTTGCGGAAAACTCGCAGCAACACCAGGTCGGGGAAAGTATTGCGGAAAACTCGCAGCAATACCAGGTCGGGAGAGTGTTGCGGAAAACTCGCAGCAACACCAGGTCGGGGAAA